AAAGCCAGCATAAAAATATCAAGTTTTTTAAATATGAAAAGGATTTAAGAGTCCTGGAGGATAGACTAAAATGCTCCAACGTGATGCTAATCAGCATTCCCGACATGGAGATCAGGGAGGATGAATAAAAAGTGACAGCTGAAAATAAACTGCTGGTGATTTTTCTGAATTGCAGAAAAAGGTAATCTTCACAAATAAAGATCATACTTATTGCTGAAAAGTTAAAAGTAAATACACACCTGGACATGCCTGGTATCAAGGCAAACAAGTAGAGCAGTGAAACAGATAGGAAGGATCCCCAAGTAACCTCATTCCTATATGGGCACTCAGTATGTAATACAGGGAGTGGTACAGATTAGCCAATTGTTTTCAGCTTTCATAGTTTAGTCAGTGTTGTTTGAAAAGAGGAACTCTCACTTCATATTTTAATACATTTATATTTAGGGATTTTTTGACAATTAAAAGTTAAAATAAATTGCACCATTACTCTCCTACAGTTTCTCTGTAATCCTCACTATGTGAGTCTCTAAAATGCCTTATGAAACAGCCATTCTAAAATTTTTCACATCAATAAACCCTTTGAGCCATTTGAGGAAAACCATCCCATTTTTAAAGCAGTGATAAAATAGAGAGCATGATGCCTGGATACAACTGAGAGAGTAACAGAAGAATAGTTTATGGCCAACATGATGAAACCCCGCCTCTATTAAAAATATTTTTAAAATAAAAATAAAATAATTAGCCAGGCATGGTGGCACGTGCCTGTAATCCCAGTTGCTAGAGGAGCTAAGGCAGGAGAATCACTTGAATCCAGGAGGTGGAGGGTGAAGTGAGCCAAGATCATGCCATTGCACACCAGCCCAGGCAGTGAAACTCCGTCTCAAGAAAATAAAAAAAAAAGATAAAACCCATTCTATGTTTTGTGAAAAGTTACTGTAATTACTAAAAAAAGAGAGATGAAGACAATCCACATAAGGGAACTTAAGCCCCACTAAAATAAATAGTGCATAAAAAAATTAGAGGACCAATTTATGATATGAAAGAGAAGACAGTATTATTGATTTTTTTTTAACAAATTGTAAATGAAAAAGAACTGAAATGTCTCAGGCAACTCTAACAAAACTGTTTTTGAGTCTCTTATTTCTCCGAATTTTTCAACTTAAAATCAACTTTAAACATTACTATACAATGAAATAGAGCATCAGCATAGTCATGGCTTATTTGTGGTCTGATGAAAGGAATTTCAGCTAGACTCCTTCTTAGGGGAAATAGAAATATTCTTCTTAAGAGAATAGAGACCACAGAAATTTCCATACCTGGAGATAGGTGGTTGGTTTAGGTACTGGAACATAGGGCATCAGACTTTCCACAGACCAAGCATTTGAAAGAAACAAAATATTTCACCTTAAAATATTTTTTGACGTATTTCAAGATGACTATTCGGAGGGCTCAAAATACAAGAACAGCTGAAAATCTGTCTTTTGTGGGAAACTCGCATCTCTACAGAAAGTCTGCACTACTGCAGCCAGGCTCTCTCTGAGTGCCTCCCCTGTTTTGATTTAGGAAAGATTAACTGAGATCTTAAAGAAACATTTACTTTGTTTCAGGGCTGCCACTTCTGGGGTTTTATCTGCATAACCAGACCATATTTGCTAGTCAGGCCTCCCTTCCTCTCCCTTCCATACCTGTTTTGCCATGACCCAAAACCCTATTTTTTTAGGGTTTCAAGGTGATGTAAAGGTGTCAACAATCTTCTTTTCTCTGAGATCTTATACTGAGATTTCATAAAGTCCTCCCATACATGTTAATAAATTGGTATACCTTTTCGCCTATTAAACTGCCTTTTGTGAGTTGATTGTCAGTTAACCTTTATGGAGTAAAGGAAGAGTTTTCCCTTGGTCCTGACACATTTTACAAGGAAGAGAAATTAGACAAGCTACTAGAAGATAGTGTGGGCCAGCCAAACAGGAAGAAACCTGGAAGGAATGCAAACATACTCACACAAAAAACGTGTTTGTTCCCCAAACTCACCTTCTTTTCCACAACATGGCAACAGTGGAGAAGAGTCTGGAACCACAGCTCTGCATACTCTCACAGTGACTGGATTCCTGGAACGTAGTTGGAGTGAATGTAATGACAAAGTTTAAAAATCAAAAACTGCAGCTCAGCCCGTTCCCAGCTCAAACACAACTAAATCAAAAGACGCAGCTGTACTAGATGTTGGAAGTTGGGCTAGTCACAGATGAACTCAATCTAGTTAAAGTGGCGGTCCAATCTGGAACAACTCAACTATAAAAGCAATCTGAGCAATCAGCTTCTCACCTTGTCTGAGAGATGAAATGCCTCTATTGTACTTCTTATCACAGTGTCTGGAACACAATCAGCCAATGGAAGCAGAACTACAGATGACCCCATTACTTAAGGAGCAGGTAGAACTTAAAAACAATTATTGTTAATATATTAAAGAATAATATAGTAGGTAAAAAGTATTTAAAGAGAGAGAACCACATAGAATTCTACAACAACAACAAAAAACCTGTACTGTATTTTACATTTCAAAAGGTACTGGATATGATTAACAGCAAATTGCACACTGTAGATAAAAGATTAAGTGAACTTGAAGACAGACCAATTGAAATTATATAAAGTGAAGAAAAAAAATAGTTTGTAAGGAGAAAATTATCTGCATTCTGTAAGACACATTTAAATAGTCTAATGGATGTATAATTAAGGGAAAGGGAGTATAACAAAAATATTTGGAAGAAATTGGACTATTTTGCACATTTGATGGGCAAAACCTTAAGTCACAGATGCATGAAGCCCAACAAATCCCAAGCACAATAAATATTTTAACAGAAACAACATCTACAAACATCATAGTCAAATTACTAAATATGAAAGAAAATTCTTAAAACAGCTACTGAAGAAAGTCACAGTGCATATAGAAGAACAATGATACGAATAAGCAATGACTTTTCATAAGAAACAATGGCAGCCAGAAGACAATAAAAGGACATCCGTAAAGTACTGGGGGGAAAAAACTATTCGCCTAAAATTCCACATCCATAAAAAATATATGTTAAAAAGCAAGGTTAAATTGAAGTATTTGCAGATAAAGGAAAGCTGAGATAATGTTTGCCAATAGTTTCATTTTACAAAAAGTACTTAACAAAGTTATTTAATTTGAAGAGATATTATGCTATATGAAAACTTGGAATTACAGGGGGAAGTAAAAAGTAGAAATGGTAAATACAAAGGCAAATAAAAAATACTCTTATTTAATTGTTTCAAAAATAATTGTTTACCTTAAAAACTACAAGACTGCATTATGGGGTTTATAATAGATGGAAGTGTTATATAATAAAACAAAGGAGAGGAGGAGTAAATGTAGATTCTTAAATCGCATGTGAAGTAGTATAATATTAATTCAGTGCAGACTGTGTTAAAGATGCATATTGTAATACATCTTTATTGTAATGTAACCATTTATTAAGGGTTCCTAGAGCAAGTATTAATACATTTAAAAGAGATATAGCAAAAATGGAAATAAAATGGAACTTTAAAAAGCACTAGATTGAAAGTACTTTTAAAACTATGTAAAAGTACTTTTAAAGTATTGAAAGTAGTTTTAAAAGAAATACATCTCTTACTGAGGATACAGTTTATAATTGGTTGGTAAAACTAATTATTATCAGTCTCCCATCACTGCTATAACGAATTACCTCAAAAACGTAAATGGATTATCTTATACTCTGTACATTGACACAGTTCTCACTGGACTAAAATCATGATGTCAGCAGGACTACATTCCTCTCTGAAGGCTGTGGGAGAATTTGTTTTATTTTTCTAGCTCCTTTCCTTTTCCACTCATCATTTCTTTACTCATGAGCTCCTTCCTTCATTTTCAAAGACAGCAACTCTCTGACTCTTTTTCTGGTCATCTCTGACTGATTACAGCTAGAAAATTTTCTTTGGTTTTAAAAACGTATGTGATTAGATTGGACTACCTCGATAATCTCCTCATACCAAGTCCTTCACCTTAATCACATCTGTAAAGTCTCTTTTGCCTTATAAGGTAGATGTTCATAGGTTCTAAGGATTAGGATCAGGATCTGGACATCTGTGGGAGCCATTATTCTGCTACCGCAATTGGCAAGGTAGTAGGACACAAACACAGGCTCAAGTCTAGAAATAGAACTAAGCCAATAGCTGGCTTGGTGTTTGGATCTGTAACATCACCAAAATTATATGAGTACAGAGGCGCCAAATACATTAAAACACTTGGTTCTTACTGGGGACCTGGAGCCAACGTGGGAACAAAAAAAACTTATTAGAGAGGGGCAAGCAGAGAAGGAGACAAAAGTGGGAAAGAAGCTACCATTCAAAATGAAGCTGCAAATCAAAATACTATGACCAAATCTAAAGCTCAGAAAGACAACCAGAAAAAATATATAATCAGAATGTTAATTTACTGAAGATGAAATTAATTTTATAAAAAAGACAAAGAATTTGTAATCAATCTATTACAGTATTTAACAAGTGAATCATATCCATAAAAAAAAAGAATTAAAAAATAAGAAATTCAACTTGCAAAAATAAATACATGGTATTATTTAAAAGAAGTAATTATATTTTTAAATGAACAGAGGTGAAAGTGTGTCCAGTATAAATCTCATAGGAATATAAGAAAAGCATGAAAGAAACAAGCAGAAGTAATATTGAAAAAGATAATTATCTAAAGAATAAAATAATAATAAAACCGTGATTGACAAGGATGAAGAGTTAATCCTAAAAGCTGAAATAAATAACAAATTACCTTTAAAATGAACACAAATGAAACTCACAATGAGCACTGAAATTGCATTCCTAAATTATATAAGGGCAATACAAGAAAATTATAAAATAATTACACTCATAAGCACAGATGCAAAAGTTCTTTTAAAATATAGCAAACAATAAAATTTAGCACTGTGTTTTTATTTGTTTATTTTTTAAGAAGTGTCAGGAGCATTTGGGGTGTTGCAAGTCCTGATTACATAGACATGTTAATCACATATCATGTGAACCCCAATCATCATGTTCTAATCTGCCCTGCAAAAGGAAGAACACGTAAGCAAGGATTCTCCCACCTGATGATCAGCACAATGTTCTTAAAAGGACATCATAAACAAATAGGGTTTACTGAAGGAGTGCAAAAATGGTGTGTCTTTAGGGAGTCTATTAAATTCAGTATACCACATTAATAGAATAAAAGGGTAATAATATGTACAATTCTCAATTGTTCATGTATAGCAACTCAATAACAAAAATGATTTGGTAAAATGTAATTTCACTATATTAAAACAAAGCAGACAAACGATACCACTAGCAAACAAGGAAGGGACTGGTACTTTTCTAATCTGATGTATTATTGGGGTCCAGTCAATAAAATCCCACACAAAATTGTCCTGTGAGGAATTTAACATAGGTAACTAGTTACAGAGAGAGCACAAAATCAGAAAAGGTGACAAACATTAATGAAGCAGGAAGCTATTATATTCCTAATGTGAGGTACAAAAGAAGGAGGTAGTGTAGGTAGAGGCCAAGGCCTCAGGCCACCAGGCAAGGGCTGGACGTATATAAAGACTATCCGGTGTGAACGAGAACCATGTAAAAACGAACTGTTTCTAGGAGGAGATGGAACTACTGCCAGATCCTACCTGAAGAAATCATCAAGAGTAGGAGAGAAAATTTCCGACTACTTTTTCTTCCACTCCAGTCTCCTAACGGTTCATTCCATTGGCCAAACATAGCCAAAACCCAGTTGGGAGTGTCTAGGAGATGTAGTTTGCAAAAGAAAGGCAGAGATCTAAGAACAAAGAGAGTAATGAGCAACATAATTTGATAAAGGATATCTATTGACTAGCCAAACAAACTGAAGACATTTCTTTAACATTAGAAACAAGACAAGAATATACTCATCACCACTTCTGTTCAACAGCCTATTGGAAAAAATTCCTAGAAATGTCTAGATAAACAAAAAGATAGTGATAATAGGAAAAAATATAAAAAATGACCCTTATATTCTGACAATATAATTGTCCATACAGACAATCCAAGATAATTCTTCAACCTACTGTTGAAATTGATGACCGAGTTTAGAAGGATTGCTGAATATATAATAAAGTCAATGAATAAAAATAGACCTTCTGGGGATATAGTTAATGGGTACAAAAAACCCCAGAAAGAATAAATAAGACCTAGAATTTGCTAGCACAACAGGATGACTATGCAAAAAAAATAATTTAATTGCTCTTATTAAAATAACTAAAAGGATATTAATATAAATGCTTGAGGTGATAGATACGCCATTTTCCCTGTTGTGAGTATTACACATTGCATGCCTGCATCGAAATATCTCATGTAACTCGTAAATGTATACACCTACTATGTACCCACAAAAGTCAGACATTTTTTTAAAAGCCCTCTATTACCATTAATAAGCAATTACAAAATGTAAAAGAAAAAGATACCATTCTCTATAGCAATACATCAAAGGGTACCTAAAAATAAAACTAACACAAACTATGCAAGACTTTTATGGAGAAATTTAGAATACATTATTGAAGATCTGATTAAAAGAATAGGGATACTGTATTTATGAATCCCAGGGCTCCAGACCTTAAATTGTCAAATGTCCCCAAGTTAATATAAAAGTTTGATATAATTCCAATCAAAATCCTAACAAGGTCTTTCACGCAATTTGATAAGTTTATCCTAAAATATGAAAGATCAAATAGGCAAAAACAATCAAGAAAAAATTAATGAATAGGGACTAAAGATCAGATATGAAGACATTTATTTTAAAGTTTTGTCATTTAAGCTAGGAGAGCATTGGCAGAATAAACTAGCAGACCAGGAACGGAATAGAATCTAGCAAACAGACACAGAAATATATAGACTAGATACATGATAGAAGTGGCATTGCCAATAATTCAGTAAATAGGGCTATGATAATTTGTTTTCCAAAGGTAAAACATTAAATAATATGCCGTCCTATGCCATACTCCAAAATAAATCCCAAGGAATTAAAGCCAAAATGTTAAAAACAAAATTTTAAAATGTTTAAAAGAAAATATAGAATATGTTTATAACCTTGTTATAAAAAAGAATTTCTTAAACAATACGAATTACATAAGTCACAAAGGAAGATGCTAATAAAGTGGACTTCAATACAACAAAAACTAAAGTCTGAAAGAAGGTATTTGTAAGATTTCACTGAACAAGAACTAGTGCCTAGAATAAATGCAAGAATTCCTAAAAATTAGTAAGAATAATATTAACCGAATTTTAAAACAGGTAAAGAATTGGAACATATTCAAGTCACAGAACAGGAAATCTAAATGGCTAACAAACATATGAGAAGATAATCAAACTGACCAACAACCAGAAAAACACAAAATGAAAGAGTAACACTATTTCTTACCCAGGAAATTAACAAAAATGTGGTGACCTGACAATACCATGCTTTGGCAAGTATGTTGAGAAGCAATCACAGAATTATAAAATTAGTGCAAATATCTTGAGAGCAACTTGTCAGTCGCTAATAAAATTGGATTACATACCCTGTATAACAAACTCTCCAACAGCCAGTGACATAAAGCAGTAATTATGCTCACAGTTTAGTTATAAAATGGATATATGTTAACATACATTCATTCAAAGGCCTACTATGTGACATTTCAAATGAATGAGCTAAAGCTATATGTGTCAACATAATAAATCTCTAACATATATTTGGAGGGAAATAAATTGCAAAAGAACATTTACTATAATACCATTTTTATTAAATATAAAACCATGAAAATGATGCTCCAGGTTGCTAAACACGAAATACTTACATGGTAAAAACTCACACATGAGAGAAATAAACACTAAATTCAGGATAACGGTTATCTTTGAAGAAGAACCAAGAAATAAAACGAAAGAAGGGCATACAGGGTATAGGGGATCTTAACTCTACAATGTTTAATTTCTTTATAATTTTTTTTAAGGAAAGATAGCTGAAGAAAACATGCCAATATCTTAACATTTGTTGAAGCTTAGTTATATATGTACATCAGCTCATAACATTATTCTGCAAATTTGAAATATTTCTTAATTTTAAAAAAGAACTAAGATATATAATTACACCCAATAACTAAAATGCTAAAAACTTGTACATATTCAGGTAACAATAACTTTACAAGAATATGAGAATAGGAAAAAATGTAAGCAGATCTATTAAGAGAATATTTTGCCATTTATATTTTCACTTCTGTTGTTACAACACATTTTTACAATAAATAACTACACAAAAGATCTATGGAATTTAGATGGATAAACCGAAAAAAAGTTAAAAGATCATTGGGGTTCGTGGTTGCTTTGGTTTTTATTCTCCTCTAAAAATATTTAATCAAAATATAGTACATTGTAATATATTTAGCTCAGTCTTAGACAATACTTTATCTGATGAATTAATTTACGTAATCAACATAGATTAGTCTAAATAGAAGATAATCTTTTTTAAAAAATTTACATTATATCCTTTTTGACTGGACTACCCACACATACCCTTTAGTCTATAATCTACATACGCAGCCTTTTGTCTACCAAATATTAAATAAAATTTTAAATTTGAACCAAATGTGGCAAGAGCATTTTCATGGTCCTGTGTGTTTATTATAATAGACCGTCAGGCAAGCAAATTAGCTGACACAAAAACATCACTTCCAGAAAAGTTATTTCGGGAAAGCCCATGGATATTCCAATGGTTTCAAATTGCACAGTAGACCCTCCAGACAGTTAATTGACAACATATTTTATGTCACTCCTTCAGGCATCTGTGCTAGAACCTGTAGCAGCCAAAAGTCTATTTGCTTATATAAAAACCTAAGTAATAGTTTGAGGTCATGCTGGGAAAACTCAGAGCCAATAAATTCAGTCCCACTGTACTTATGTCATGGCCTGCAGATGATTGTGCTGGCCTAAGGTGCCCATTTACGGTCCAACTGTACAACAGACTTATGAGAAAATACCGCAAAACTTAAAAATACCCATGCTGTTATGTGTTTTCTTATGACACAGCCACCACACTTGGAAGAGTCAACCATATTCCCAAAAGGAGACTGGCTTGGTTTGAGACAAGAACTGGGTGTGCCCAGCAGTGCCAGGCTGCCACCAGAAGGAAAGCTGTAGCTGACTTCAGAAAAATGTGTATCAGGAGTCAAGTAGAATCCCCGCCACAGAGTGAAGTTCAGGACACAGCGTAAAGCCCTAGTGATATAGCAGACTGAGAAGAAAAAAACACAGGAGATAAATTTAGCACCAACCCGTTTGTAAGGCAGGACTTGGGGCACAGAGATCAAGTCATTCAGGCATTGATTGTCAGTGTGCCAGGCTCTGTGCTGGGTGCTGGGCACAAGGACCTACTTTTGTTGTTCTTTTACCAGGGCCTAAGAATTACTATACTTTTATGTGCAGGTAAAGTTATTAAGAGTCTACAAGATACTGATAACAGATATTGTTACTAGTGAATTAAAGGTAACAATTAGGCAAGTGAAACCTTTACAATCTTGAGTAATACTTGACTTTATTACTATGAGCTTATATTAGCTTAAGCATAATTTATAATTACATCATTTCTTTAAAATAAATAAAAGATTGCTCCACAATCACATCTTCAGATGTGTGACCTGAGGCCTAGAGACATGAAGTGACATAAATTTACATGTCGAATTAGTGCCAGAGCCAATGGTAGAACTTGGGCTCCCTTGTCCCAACCAGTGTTTTATGTTTTTGTGTTTGTTCTGTTTATGTTTACAGCTTTTGATAAAGATATAGCCTGTAAATATAAACATATTCATCTGGATGTGAGCAGATTCCAGGAAACATTTTCTTAAATTTTGAGAATTAAGCAAGGAAACTATTTGATCTGTTTTATAAACTGCTTTTAAGGCATATTTTCATAATGTTCTATTTTAAAGACCAAAAAACTGTGTTGGTTTTAATAATCACATTTATATCTGAATTCTATAAATAATGCAAAGTAATAGGAACAGCATGCAGCCAATATTGCAGAAACATATGATTTAAAATTTGATAGAGAGCTTCGACTT